AGTTTGTTGTGTATTTATTGGTTCCAAATTTGGGACCAGGAAGATGTGATGTGGTTTTTTTACTCTCGGTTTCAAGTCAAAGAAAGGGATTTTACTATTTTTGTTTTCGGGTAGTTTTTGAGATTATTTAGTAAATTGTTCAACGGCTTCGTTGCCATCAGTGCCAACATGGCTTGGAAGCTAAGCTATTGTAACAGTTTTTTCAGATTGAAGTTTTAAAAAAGCAGTTTAATTTTAAAAAATTTAAATTCTGATGTCGGAGGTGTCAGAGCGCTCTAAAGATTTCAGACAAGAGAGAGAGTCTGATAGGATTAGGAAAGTAGACTTGGTTGATTTATCTATAATATTTAGGGCCATTTCAAGAGCTGTAGCCTCAGCAGTGTAGATTGAGGCTTCTGGTTGGAGTTTACTTAAGCTTAAGCTGTGTGGCGATGCAAGGGCAGCAGCTCCTACTGAAGTGTCATTTTTGGATCCGTCTGTAAAACGTTTCTCTGCTTCAGGGTATCTATTTATTAGCTGTCCTTATTCTGTAGACTTTTTGTTGTGTTTTTCAAGACTTGTATCTATGTTTGGTTTGTTTAAATGCCATGAAGGTATGCAGGACATGGTAAATGGCTCGATTAAGCCTTTAGAAAAATCAATGTCTTTTAAATCGTTCTGGATTCTTATTCCGAAAGGACTTACTTTATTTTCTAAGGGGGGTAGGGTTTTTAGATCTTCGGGAAGGCCAAAGACACATTTGTGGTCTGGGTTTTGGGGTACTGAGCTAAGTTTCAAAGCGTACTGCAAAGAGAGTTTTTTTTTTCTTATATCTAGATCTAGGCTTCAGGCGCCCTCTATGTGGAGTCAAGCAAACACTTACTGGCGCCTGTCCGCATCGATCTTCAGCCGCTTAAGTTTCGGCGTTCTCTATGTTATCGCCCTTAGAGAGGGCGCCTAAAGCCTAGACCTAGATATAAGAAAAACAATTACACCACAGCACAGCTGATATTTATGAAACATTTATTTTGGGATTTTAAAAAAACCCTCGAAATTCCGAAAATTTTGCTTAAAATGTAATTCTATACCGTTTCCACCCTAATTTGACGACGCTGATTTTAAAAAATGTATAAGTTTTTGTCTACCGTGAAGCACCAGCTCTGAAATTGCCATTTAAAATTGTCCCCTGTCCAGTCGGGTGACGTCACGCAAACAGCCCAACCCGAGTTGGCGACGGCGAGACAGCATTGAGAGTTCGCGACCTCAGTGATTTCTTGTCGCATCTCCATTTTTAATAACAGTGAAAGCATTTCACAACAAAGAGTGAGCTTAAGTAGAAATCACATTTTCACTATTAAAAATGGAGATAAGACAAGAAAGCACTGAGGTCGTGAGTTGACAGCGAGACGCCCTTCCCAGTTTTTCGGCGTAATAAGAATGTAGTTTGGATTCCCATAAAGCCAACAACGCCGATACGAGCTTAAAGCCGCCTACAGTCAGCCAGCTCTATGTGGGGCAAGTTGGAAATCATAAGGGAATTTTTATACTTATCGGCGCTTACTGAGTCAGTCTCCGAAATCAGCGTTCTCTATGTTTTCGCCCAATCGTTACTCGCCAAAAGTAGTCATAGGTATCGCTACTCGGCGGAAGAAATTGCAGGGGTCCGACTTATTGCTACTCGCCGGAAGTAGTCATAGGTATCGTTACTCGGCAGAAGTAATTGCAGGGGTCGGACTAATTGCTAATTGCTGTAAATATAATCATGATACTGGCTCGGGGTCGAAGCCACAGGAAGAAATCATAGAGCCACAGGAAGAAATCCCATCACTGACTATAATGAAAGTATTTGTGTTCGGAACCGATTCCAACGATTTCTAGCCGTTAATAATCGGGAATATTCGGTTACCGAAAAAAAAAAAACCGGAATCACCCATCTCTAACGTTTTAGATCTAAAGTTTATTACAAGCGCCTTATATACGCCAGTGCGCATTAATAATAAAACAACATTTGTTTAACTGGACTACTTTTTCACGCAGGTGTCGTGTAACCAAGCCTAAGTCGCTAGACTATGAATTCAATTTGTACTCTAGGCTAAACTTTTATTCCACATAAGGCGTTACATGATTAATGATCTCTTCTCAAATATCTAACAACATATTTATACCTGCCGACCCCATCGTTCGTCCCAACATTCCCTTCGATAACTCTTTCCATCTCTCTCTCTCTCTCTCTCTCTCTCTCTCTCTCTCTCTCTCTCTCTCTCTCCACCTTCCTTAACCTCTCTCCATATCTATCTCGCTTTCTTTAACTCT